TCACACTTGGGGTCTAGCAGGAATGATTACAGAGATATAGGGTGTTCAAAATCGAGATTTTACAACTTTAGGATTTTTTTGAGTCGAAACTATTCATTATTGGTCAAAACGGCTTTTATGTCCCTATCTCAACTTCTGATTTACTATCTACTGACATTTATTTGAAACAAATACAGGGTGGTTCAAGATTCAGACTTTTGATCACCCGCCTGTATTTGTTTCAAATAAATGTCAGTAGATAGTAAATCAAAAGTTGAGATAGGGACATGAGAGCCGTTTTGACCAACAATGAATAGTTTCGACTCAAAAAAATCCTAAAGTTGTAAAATCTCGATTTTGAACACCCTATATCTCTGTAATCATTCCTGCTAGACCCCAAGTGTGATACATTGATGAAATTAGCTTTTCAGGGAGAATCTAAAAATGCAATAAGATACAGGGTGTTCCATTTGAAATAACAAAGTTGTTGCTTCTTTTCGTTAGAAGCGGCAACGCCGCGGGGCTGAAAATATTTTAGAACCATGTCCCCCTCGAAATTGTAGTTGACGTGTCTCGGGATTTTTCAAAAACATTCACACATTTCGAGAAAATTAGGGTGGGAAGTCCTGAAATGAACACCCTGTATATATATACATGTACGATGATATAAGGTTGTAACTGAATTTGTCATAATATTTTTCAGTGTAATTATCATGGGATTTATTGTTATCATATCTGTTGTTACAGGAAAATGATTGACTTATTTTTTTTTTTTTTTTCGTCGGGCTTCATATAGGTATGTTTGTTTTTTCTATAATTTAATATTCAGTGTTATTCGCATGATCTGATCCATAGAAGATGAATATAGATAAATCTAGATATAATCATCAATTAGTCGTATAAGTTTTGTTATGAGTTCTTCATTTAGAAAAGAAATTAAAATAGAATTTCCTCAGTGAGATCTAGCGGTTACCTTGTATCTTCATTTACAATATTGTTTTTTTTTTTCTCAACCTACATGCTGGATGATGATACAGGACTATAACTGAATTTTTCATATATTTTTTTGTTAGGGTAATTGTCATGTGATTCATCATTATCATATCTGTTGTTTCAGTGGAATAGTTCAGGATCATATGTACCATAATCATTTTCGTTGGCACATAAATATAATATATATATATTTTTTTGCAATTTGGTGGGAGGGAGCGATAGGGGTTCTGCTTGCTGCGTCTTAGTGAATATTAAATGAAGGTAGGACATTTGAATTTACAGTCGATCTTTACAGGATTTTACGAATTTTCAGAATTAGTATTAAATATGGACTTGGATATTGTAGGTGTTACTGAAACTTGGTTGTCGAATGATGTGGGAGCTGATGTGTTTGTTATATCGGGCTATTACTTTTTGAGAAAAGATAGGCTTACTAGGGGAGGTGGGGTAGGATTCTTCATAAAAAATCATATCAAATGTCAGTTGATAAATATTGATTTGGAGCTATCAAATCATGCATGTGAGTATTTATGGATTAAATTTAAAATTAATCGTAGATTCATAACTGTTGGGGTGTTATACAGACCTCCAAAAAATAATTCACTGAAAGATTTTGTTTGTGACATAGAGAGCATTTTAAGTAACTTTATCCCTTCTTCTGATGTTGTGATTTGTTTGGGTGACCTCAATCATGACTTACTTTTGCCAAAAAATATAATTAGGGATTGTTTCCACTCATATGATTTCGTTGAACTAGTTAAAGAACCGACCAGGGGTAAAGCTCTATTAGATCCAATTTTCATTAATGATAAGGACATCGCTATAAGCGGAGGAACAATAAGTGGGGATCTGAAATCTGATCACAGTCTTTCTCACTGTATTGTTGATTTAGAATCAACTGAAAAAGCTAAAAATAAATTCGTCACATACAGGGATTACTCAAATTTTAATTCTGAAGCTTTTCAAGAAGATCTACATAAACTACCATGGTTTGAACTCTTGAATGAAACTGAGCTAGATAGAAAAGTGGAAATTTTCAACGGATTTTTATTCCAAGTTTTTGACCTTCATGCTCCAAAACGATCGGCTAAAGTTACAAAACCACGTGCTCCTTAGCTAAATCAACACTTGAAGGATGCGATAAAGATGCGAAATAAAGCACTGAGTAAATTTAAAAAATTTCGCTTAGATGGTGACTGGGAGGACTATAAAAGATTACGTAATTCAACACTTACGCTTATTAGGAATGAGAAAAAAGCATATATTGATACTTTTTGTAGAAATAATGATAGCAGACGTGTTTGGAAGACATTGAGAAATCTTAAGGTGGCTCAGAACAAAAGTAATTCAATTCCTGACGATATTTCAGATCCTAATAAAATTAATGATTTCTTTGCTCAAATTTGGTCTGGTTCGTCGGATGATAACTGTACGGATGCTATTGATTTTTATGAGAATGATGATTCATTTCAAGGAGCTGATAACTTTCAGTTCAAGATGATCAGTGTGGAGCAAACCCATGATTATCTTTCGCAAATTAAATCTGCAGCTTATGGTATTGATGATTTATCAATCAATATGATTTTACACTGCAGCCCTTTCATTGACCCTTTCATTACACATTTAATTAATTACTCTATCGAAAAACAAACATTTCCTACACTATGGAAAATTTCTCTGGGGCGCCCTTTACCAAAAATATCTAAACCTACTACTCTATCAGATTTGAGAATAATTAGTATTTTACCGTGTCTTTCAAAAATTCTAGAGAAACTCATGGCTGCGCAAATCACTGATTTTGCCAAGGAAACGAACATTATTCCATCATCTCAAACAGGTTTTCAAAAAAATCTTAGTACCTCCGATTCACTTGTCAGAGTGTTAGATGATATCATTGCAGGATTAGACAAAAAAGAAAGCTCCGCACTTGTTCTACTTGATTTTTCACGAGCATTTGACACAATAAATCACAAACTCCTTCTGGCAAAATTGACTTCCTATGGATTTTCTCATGATGCTTTATTATTGATAAAATCTTATTTCAGTAATAGAAAGCAAAAAATATTATCCAACGGTAATCAGTCTGGATACGTTAATATCACAACAGGGGTTCCCCAAGGTAGCATTCTTGGACCACTATTGTTTATAATTTATACAGCTGATATTTTGAAATCTATAAATAAATGCAGTGTATGTGCATACGCAGATGATACACAAATTGTCATTAAATTCCCTGTTGATAAGTTAGAGCAAGCGCAACTTGATCTCAATTACGATCTCAACGTTATCTCCTCTAAAAGTTCATCACATAATCTGAAACTGAACTCTACAAAATCGAAGTTACTAATTTTTTCACCTCGCAATCAGTACGAATATATTAAATCTAATCTTTTAGTTAGCATCAATGGAACTCAGATAAACGTTGAACACTCTGTGAGAAATTTAGGATTGGTGTTGGACGATGATCTTAGGTTCAAATGCCATATACATAATTTACTTAAAAGGAGTTTTACATCGTTGAGAGTTTTATATTCCAACAGATATATACTGAACCCAAAGTTACGTAAACAATTATGTGAGAGTCTAGTTTTATCCCAGTTTACGTACGGTGACTTTCTTTACGGACCTTTTCTGGATGCAGCGTTCAGAAACAAGATACAGAAAGTACAAAACTATTGTATCCGATTCATTTTTGGTCTCAGAAAATATGATCATGTTAGTCAAAAATTAAAAGAGCTCAATTGGCTAAATATGGAAAGTCGTAGAAAGTTACACTTGGCAACTTACTTACAGAAAGTCATACAAACAGGTCCGGTGGACATAAAAAGTAATCTAGTTCCACGGTCTCAAGTTCATTCCGTGAATATAAGAAAAAAGACAACCATAACCATTCCACATCATTCGACAACTCTCTTTCAGAAAGGATTCACTTACAATGCTATAAAATTGATCAATTCATTACCTGACAATATGATGAACCTTAGTAAGTCTGCTTTCAAGCATCGGTTCAAGCAGAATCTCTTATCGGACCTACCGATCTAATCAATTATTCTGATGTGAATGGTATGATTCAAAGATGTAAGTCTGTAATAATTTAGTAAATTCATGTAATGTAACCATGTCATTATCACATAATCTTTTCTTACATGCTATCTTATATTATGCAGATCATTATGGGGTTAGATGTAAGAGTAGCCTAGCTAAATTTCGCCCCTTAATGATCATAACAATTGTATTTGTTTTCATCATACTTTTATAAATAAAGTCGATTTATTATTATTATTATAATAATAATCTGATTCACTTGACGAGAGCGAAGTCTTATTGGTCAATACTTTCCGGTATCGGTATCGGTATTTCCGGTTTGCAAACCCTATCTTCAACGAAATAAAATGCATTTTTACATAAATCATTGAATATTGTTGTTTTGAAATTATTGAAATTTTTTTTTCTCACGAAAAATATTGTTAATATGATTGAAACATAATATTCCTTGATATATGGGAGAATTCTGTCCAACAGTTTTGACATTCATTGACGTTTAAAATTACTAGCATTTGATGATTCTATTGCTTTTTTGCTAATCAAAATCGGACAATACCGAACAGCACTATAGCTTATTAGGGCGTGTTTTATCATTCAGTCGTATGTAACCTGTTTCAATATTCACGTCTAGTATATAAAATGACTTATATAATTAGGTAATAGCTATCAAACTAGTTGACAATATGTTTTCAGAACCTTGATATGACGCAATTTTTCATTGAGGTTATGTCTTAGGATTTTTGGTGAAAACTCTGTTGTTATTGGTGAACGTTTTAACGATTTCGTATGGTCATTTGGCCTATAAACATTTGTTGTTTCCAAACATTCCTGATGAAGAACAAGAAAAAGTGTTGCCTGGTGAACTCCGTTGCAACACATTTCAGATACAGATATAATGTTTGTTACAATAATCTGGGATCTAGTGGAGTTTCCTTATTTCTCTTTACTCACAATCATGATGTTTTGTTTTTGTGATCTTTCAGAAAAATGAAAACATAAAAGTTACTTCCAAGCACATTTTGTCTGAGAAAAACAGGTCTGTAAGTGAGACTGAAAAATTAGAACTTTCAGAAAAAAGCGTTCAAACAGATATTCAGAATATCCAAAACAAATTAGTAAGTAATCATCCAGAGGCATGGGAAATTCGACACTGTATATACCTCTGCTTTTGCAATAATTTTAGGAAATTCAAATACTCAGTTTTTTATTTTTCAGAATATCATCTGTGAACTTCAATTTGAAAGCTAGTCCTATTTATTTGAATTTCCTCCATATACTAACTCCCGATAATTGTAAATATTGCGATATTGTAATATATGTAGGTTAAGTAGTGTGTTTCCGAAATTGGAGCGATAAATTTAATGAAGTGGGTTATAAAAGACGAGAAATCAAACCGGTGTGAAAGAATACATTTTTCTACTCACATAACTAAAATGGCATTTATCGTACGGATATGTACCACGCTAAATGATCGATTAATCACGGATTGTCGATCTGTGATTCATTCGAAATATTAAACACGTTACCATGGCAACACGATTTCTTAAACACATCACCATGGCAACGCAGTTCATTAAACACAGCTTCAGTAATTCGAGACATGTCTGCATGGCCTGTCAATTGTATTAACTGTCAACTGTTATTTTCATATTTTGTATCAGAATTATTCAAACAATATTCGTTTGTATCGGAATTCTTCATTAAAAATATATGCGAAAAGTAGACGAGAGTGAAATCGAAGAGAATGTTCAGGTACTTACATACCTCCAAGAAGTGTAGAAATGAAGCATCCATCTTTGAGAACAATTTATTTATTCAGCGCTAAGCATGACAATAAACGTGAAACAAAGGTTAGTAAGCAATGGACTGGACAGATCTACAACCAATATCACTTATACGTGTCTTGCTGGTTGCATGCAGTTGTATGTATTATGTTTTCAATTCCCATTCCTTTCGAATTATTTTGTAGGTTAGCAGGAATAGCAGGTATGTTAATTGATGTAATTTTTGGAGTTCGTAGAAAAATCATAGTATGTAACGCGTTTATAAACTCGTTTATTAAACACTCGCTCCGCTCTGCTCCGCTCGTGCTTAAACTACTCGTTACTAAAAGGACGTTTATAACACTTGTTACATAATATACTATTTCGTTGAAAAGATCATTGTGGAAGATATTAGATTTCAAAGTTTACCTGTTACTTTTTCTTATCATTGATCAGAGGTTTTCAGCCTAACTCAAGCGTTTGCTTTGGAAAAATTTGCCGGACTTTCAATAATAGTTCAATAAATGAAAAATTATAGGCATCTTATTCAAAATTCGAAATATTATTTCTATAAAATACTTGAAGTGTATTTACTTGTGCCTCATTGAAACTTTCTTTCAAGACAAAGTAAGAATTTGTTTCCACTGAGTGGAATTCATTACTTAACATTTTATAATAATTTTTTGATATAAGTGAAATAAATAGACGCATGGGGATCTCGAAAACGGTAAGAGCTACAGAGAGGGTTAAATAGAGGCAATGTTGCGCAATTCAATGACTAACAAAAACCGTTTTGAAATTTAAAAAATTCCGAATACTTCTGAAGATTTTTTACTATTCATTCCTGTTTTTTATATATTCAAATCCTATAAGTACCTATGTAACTGTATTTTGTGATATTTGTGAGTATTTTTGAATTGAGAATTAGGAATATGATTATCTTTGTGTGAGAATGTTTGTTTTGTTTGTTTCTATTTTGTTGGAAATAGGTTACTTTTCTGTTTACTAAATGTACATAATGTTTTGACGTCATAGGTTCATTTCATTATCCTTTATTGAAATTCGTATAGCCTAAAATAGATCTGAATTTTTGACAAGGTATTTAGTGATGAAATAAAAATTGAACTGGCAACCCTGGTCCGCGCGGAGAGTGAGTTGACAACAACTGTAATTTGCTGTTGTCAAATTAATTATTCACGAAATCCGATAGATTCCACGTGTGAATAGGACCGTGATGTGGATATAAGTGTTTGAGGTCGACGAAAAAATGTAATATGCACCTCGGCGAAAAACTGTCTATTGTCTCGCCTAATTGCTAGCCTCGGCTATCAATTTGCAGACTCGACTATAATAGACAGTTTTTCGCCCTTGGTACAGTCGTATTCAATAAAAAAGCGTACAAGTATTAAAAAGAGAGGATTTCGGGATCCTAGTTCTAGTTGTGTAAAACTGGCTCAGCCAATGCTTTGTGTTTTCGAGAACCTAATACAACTTTACTGTCAACATTTCGTGAACAATCATTCCCGATAGCCCGTTTCATGCAGAAAAGGATGACGTTAATTTCTCTCTGTAATATACTTGTACGTTTTTTTAATGCGACTGTACATAAATAACTATTTTAGAATAAGTGCGATTGATTGTAGGCCGTAGGGAACTGAAAGCTCTTAAAATCCATAATAAAAAATTCAGGTGCGTATTGAAAAAAAAAACAAAGTTGATGGCAGCTCAAAGAGGAAACGTCAGTTTGAAAATCTGATAACACCATCTTGTAGAACAGAAAAAGTAGCAATGACAATGTACAAAGTGTAAACAAGTATTCGGAATTTTTCGAATTTCAAAACGGCATTTATTTTAGGCATAAAATTGCGCAACTTTGTCCCCATTTGACCTTCTACTCTACTCGAACTTCACTCACCCGTTATATAGGGTGTCCCATGAATAAGGGATCAAAATGAGTGGGGTGGTAGGGGAGGTTATTAGTAATCAAACTAACCGTATATGTTGTTATCAAATTGTTGATGGTTCAAAAGTTATTCAATTTTTCTGGAAAATGCGACCTATTCGAAAAAAATCAATAAAAAAAGGCTGTTTTGAATAACCCCCTATGTTATACCATTTCGGAATCTGTATTGAATGGGCAACTTCTTCTTATGATTGGTTACCTTTGTGGGGTAGTTTTTAAATCTGCCAGCGGCATTTAAAAATCGACTTGAATATTTCATTTGATGACAAAATCCAAGGAAAACAAAAATTTTTCTCAGGTAATTGATAAGAAGTAATACATGTCATAAAATTATTTCTGGGAAAAGGAGCATCCATGTGGATGAAATTTGTAAAAGAAAAAATCACAAATGTGACATAGTTTTATTGTAATTAATTCTTTTTATAGAAATGGAAAAACATCAATAACTTCTGAACCATCAACAATTGTATAACCACATATACGGTTAGTTTGATTGGAAATGCCCCCCCCTACCTCCCCACTTCTTTTGATCCATGACTTATGGGACACCCTGTATAAACAGATGCGGAAGTCTACATATTTTAAAAATGTTTATATACAATAGCCCATTTCATATTTTGCTCCAATTGAGGAAACACTGTCTATATACAATGTATCTTTTCTATAAATTACTCAATGAACACTGTTTGTTTTCGATTTTTTCATATATTCAAAAGCAAACATGATTTTTAAATGGTTTTATCATTTATCAATTTTCAACTAGTCTTTGGTAGAAGTCCATATTGCTCAATGTGGAGTGAACTTTTTCAAAGGAAGGAAGGAATGTCATCTCCACTTTTTTTTCTCTTACTAGCTAGTAGCATCATACTTATTCAACCTCAAAACTTTTAATTAGTCTGGAGATGGTATTTTATAAGACCGAAACATGTCCCTTCTGATTGTGTTACAACACCAAAATAATGTGTTTGGATGGCTTAGAGCATTCCTTCCTTCCTTTGTCAACTGAACTAGGCAACATATAAATAGCTTGAACACTAACTACTAACCAACTATATTTGGCCGTGTACTGTAGATTATTTCAAAAAGGTGGGATTTCCTATTCATCATTTTATCAATATATTTTCTCTATATCGGTATTTTTTTTCATTTTTAGGTTCAGTATGCTTTGCAAAGTCAGAATTCCCCGGAGAAGGAGCTGAGTCCGCTTGTTCTCGAAAACGATAAATTTTTTATACGTAATCATCGAAATAGTGTACCATTTAGAGTAGATCAGAGATTAACCAGTGCTCAAAATGCCTTACTAAACCCCGAAATGGACAAACCGAAGAGTATTCTATCCAACAGGAAGACTGGCAGTCCGAGAGGTACAAAACATTTCATTTTTCAAGTTGAAATGATTGTAAGTATCAACCGGCACAGTTAAGAGTTCATTTACTGATACGATAAATTCGTTCAAGATTCACTTGAATCGGCAACAACATTCTGAAAAAGTATAGAGTTGAATATTTTCAGTGCCCACAAGATGCATAATATGAACTTTACTTTGCAAACCTCTTCATCAAACCTATAATGTCAAGGATCGGTTAAATTTTTGGGGGTCCACTTGGATCCAGGATTGACTTGGAACGTTCATATCAATTATCTAAGCTCCAAGTTGTCCAAAATAACTATCCTAATAATAAGCCTCATGGATACTTTAATTCCAATTTATCCTATGTTTTGAACTGGGGTCATTCCCCCAATACTGTTCGAATCTTCAAATTACAGAGACGCTGTCTTAGAATCATCGCAGGTTTAAAATATCGAGATTGTTGTAGAAATAGTTTTGCAGAACTGAGACTCCTTACACTTCCTTCTTCTTGTATATTTCACTGCCTAACCCATATAAAACTGAACCTAGTGAACTTCAGATCACATAGGGATATCCACTCACATTCAACTAGAAATAGAGATAATTTAGTCCTAAGAAGGGGCGCTGATTACTGCGGCAAAAAAATGTATAATGCTCTTCTTACAGAGATAAAAAACCTACATTTCAACTATTTCGAATCCAAAGTCAAAAAGTATATTTTAAAAAATGCCTTCTATTCCATCGAGGAGTATTTAGAAAGTGATTTTAATATGTAAATGTATTCGACTCTATATTTTGATATTGTGATGTTTGTCCTCTGGTCTATGTATTGCTACCATTGGTATCTTACCTAATAAGCTTTGTTCTACTATTTGTAATTTTTTTTCACTATTTTATATCAATTGTAACATTTTTTCTCTCTCTTTTTTATATATCTGACCTGTAAAAGCACTTTAGTGTAATACTTTGCCAGTAAATGAACTAAACTATTAAATATTGAACAGCCATTTCGTTACAAGATTCTCGCCGGCAGGCAGGCAAGCAGATGTGAATTCCAATGTGGAAAGTTCATTTATCCTATTCAATGAATTAGTTTCCATAGCTAAGAGACCTAGAATGAATTCATTTTGCCCTAATTGTCAGCAAGAGAGATACAGAAGTGCTTAACTACATTCATAGATAAAGCCTGGTTCAAACTCATTATATCTTCTCCTGAACATAGTTAGGGAAACGATCTGACTTATTGGTCAGTGATAACACATTGTCACAGACATAATTGTTTGATTATCATGCCAAGGGTTCCAGTTTTTGATATAGCTAATTCATTCACTGGAAATCACAATTTCGGATGTACTTGAATAGCATTATTACAGGTAGGCAAGTACCGGACCTCTATGCCCCAACGTTCATGGACGGCTTCAGCTACCAGGAATCGCACGCCGAGGTGCTGGAAAGAGTAAGTCATCAAATGGCTCTTACACAATGCTCCGAAAATGTTTGTCATGAGAACAAAAATCAGTTTCTATAGTGATATAAATTGACCCTGAGACAGCGACATCAGTACTCATCTATCTACATAGTATTTCCGTTACCACCAATACCACCGATCAAACATGAATACAACACCTAAAGTTCAGGATCGAGAAGATTAATCACCACAGTTTAGATTATTTAAGAGTCCTTTGTCGCATTCCATTCGGTTTAATCGGGATTTCTCTCCTTGAACAATCCTCGACAGTCACTTACTCTTGCTGACGTCATACTCTGATTACGTCAGAGCCTTCTGGCATTGTATCGGCGGTAACAGTATTTCAGACATGAGTAAATAGAACATCCAATGAGTTTCCAAAATAAAATAATTGATGAAATTTCCTGATTTCATGTGATGTATTTTTGCTCACATGAAGACGTGAAATTATGAATCGTACTTGATTAAAATCTGTATGAAGAAAACCAGACTCTCTTCAACAACTTTACTATATGAAGAAGCAGATATATTCAATATAAAAAAACTATTTATTTACCATTCTCTAATACACATGCACTCAAAAATAGAACCAAAAATTAACACTAACAAACAGTACCAAACCCGATCCATTACAAACCTATCTATAGATATACCACTGTTTTCGAAAAGCCATGCACAAAAATGTATCTTTTTCATTGGCCCAAAATTGTATAACTTAATGCCAATCGAAGTGAAAAATATTAAAAGTAAATTCATTTTCAAGAGAGAAATAAAAAAACTCATCAAGGCAAACAATATCAATTTAGAAATAATTGTATAATGCCGCCTTTTGATCCAATAAATTCAGCTGACACACTAATTTAATTAACTCATCAGTCAAATGAGTTCTCCTTCGATTGATACTGGAAAACATAACACAAGCACAAGATGTGCTCAGATGTTTCCTATCAATTCATCGAGTTAACCAGGCCACACCAGACACCTACAGACCGGATTCGAGCTCTTTGACCCTCATCGAAATCAATAGGCCTTCAGGAAAGATTCACTTGTATCAGTATTCGTTTATACGGGTCGATGAATAGATTTCGGGAGGATGTGGTTGCTTTTTCTCCCGAAATCTACCATTGTTGTTGATTGTATGAACTTTGTGTGGATATGACTTTGAGCTATTTTTATTTATTCAACATTTCTTTCCACTTTGAGCTTTGTGGCTATTTCGTAGTTCTTTGAATAGTTGTTGATGTTTTGTAAATCAACTTTCCATAGAATTAACAATTCTGTCCAGTATTATGTAAAAAACTTCTATTTTTAATGGTCGGTCAGGCCATCGGGCGGTGTCCGATTGCCCGATAGGTCAGTCCGTCCTTGGTTTTCGCATTGTGTAAGAGCCTCGCATCACCACCGCCGTCTATCTCTATCTATCTATCTCTCTGTGTGTGGCGGTCTAGCAAGGTGGATGTAGTGGTGGGCGGGTTTCAGGAGCGGCAGAAGCGCGACGCGTATCAGCGCGAGCTGCGCGCGCAGATCGACGAGAAGCGCGGCAGGCAGAGGGCGCGCGACGAGCAGGAGAGGAGGGAGCGCGAGATCGAGAACAGGCGGTTGGAGCAGCAGCTGGACAGGATGCGCGACGAGCGGATGGTGGAGGAGGAGCGGAGGAGCCACAGGGACGAACAGGTGAGGAGCTCATGAAGTCTGCATAATATTTCTTTGCGTGCGACTGAAATTAGCATAGACCTACGGGCAACTTGCTATCCTCTTCAGACTTGCATATATAGCAGCAATGTCTATCATGACGTATGTTGACATAAGTTACGACAACGTTTCTGAGCTCAACGTGTTAAAAGCTTGAATACAGAGGTGTTCAAAGGCGCGCAGTAGGTGCTGAAATGACATCGTTTTGCGTGGCCATTGTCAAATATTCAACATGCCAGGTAGACGTTTGAATTCGCAAGCACGAAGTCTTGTATCGAATTTGTTACAATATTTCACAAGAGAGAAACATAATAATGGTCCTTTAATCCCGTTTACTCCCATACAACAGGTAAATCATAATTCTTCCTGATCAATAATAAAAATAGTCAGACCTTACTTCAAGAATATCATCATGATGTACATAATTGTAGCGTGTCGCTGATGCCCTCAATATTAGTCTGCGGACAGTTTCGAGTATTAAAGTACATTCTGAGAGAAACGAAAGTTTGGGTACGCCAGGAAAATCTAGGACTAAAAAAAGTAAGTGATTTCATTTGATACTTCTTGACTACCTTCAACTGACAATTTTACAGAAAAACACATCACTCTTAGAATTTTGAAAGAAGAACTCAGAACTAAACATATTCTTGACACAAGTATAGGCACATTAAGCAAACTTCTCACAAATGTAGGATTCAAATATAAAAAAGAAGACAACAGACGGTTATTGGTTGAGAAGACGAACATATGTATAATGAGAGCAGAGTTTTTTCAGAAAGTTTCATGAAAATCGCAATTCTAGTTACCCTAGACAAAATCGTCTTCTTAGATGAAACTTGGATATTTGCGAAAGGGAATAAGATGAAATCATGGCAAGATCAAAGTACAAAAAGTGTTCGTAAACCTGAAGGTTATGATGGGAAACGAGTTATTGTACTTCATGCTTTGCGTCTCCGTTAACTAAATAATCTCACGACAGGAATGAATCTCTTCCCACCTCGGTGTGTGATATACTATTACAGAATTGAAATATCACTTATATTTGTTTACATTTCTAGATGAGAAGACATAGCGAAGATTTGCTGAGGCGCAAGCAGGAGCTTCAATCCAGACCCAGTTATCGCAAACACACAGATTCCGAGAGCAGTGTCACGAACAGCATTCGCAATAACCCCAACGATAGCACTTACAAATCACTGTCCCATTATTCGCCACCTGTTTCTCGACGAAATCCGTACACCTTCAACAATCCATCCACATCTGTGTTCTCAGAACCGACGGCAAGGTATGATATAATTTCTCTTTGTTTATATTGAGTAAAGATTTGTTGGCTCTGTACAGGCTGTCCCATTTTCGATGTCTCTCTCTCATTTTCAAAGATAGAGATTTGCGGTTTTCGCGAACATTGGCTACTTTTTTGTGAAAGTCTCGATACCGCAAACAAAATTTTCATAACTTGCTTCGTTCTTGAGATACAGGGCGAAATTAAAAAAGTTGCATTTTGGGACCCCTGTTGTATCTCAGCTATCATTTTACACTACTTTCTATACAGAATGAAATTCGATTTGAGATTGGTCTTGGATGCTATTTATTATATTTTACATCAATTTACATGTGATTAATTATTAATAGAAGTCATTGTTTAGGTACAATTCTCCAACAGGCAGGTTCGACAACTATAATCGAAGAGACAACTTGAAACGCATGGACTCCCTGAACTCCTACGATCCTCCACCTAGGCACCAAACGTTCAGTAGATTTGACTCTCTGAGCAAAATAGACTCCCTCACCCAAAGAATGGATTCGATAAATTTCAGGTAATAATATGTCTGAAATCTCAAAATTGCATTCAAGCATATTATGCACATATTATGGTGGTATGTTGCAAAAATCAAAGTGTGGTGGATCTCAGGAAAACAAATATTTATTGACATTAAACCAATGTGTGCAAGCGCTTAGTTCCGGGGCAACTTTGTGGAACAGTTATGTTGACTTCAGGAATTTATTTGGATATGAGTAAGTATACTATAGCCTGAAGTCCCCGAACCTACTAGGTGAGCAAACTCCAGAACATCGTGAAATGTATCCATATTTTATATTTTTCTCGAAATCCTCGAGAACAGTTGCATGTCGGTGAAAAATACCTAATGTAAAAAAAGAAATCTCATGAAATTGTTCACTTTATAACTCTCATAATTTCTGTGCAATCTGCTTGTTGAAATTGTAATTTTTCTGGAAACATTCCCGTTGAATATCGTCGAGTACCTAACAAGTGAATGTCGTATGATTTTGTTATTGACTATTATGCATATTTTGCTGAAAAAAAAAGTGTCTTTGTAAGGATTTTGACCGCCGTATCTCAAAGGGGGTGTGTTTCTAACGCAAATTTTTGATTTTCTGAAATAACTATATTGGAATCGGCAGAGTTGATGAGGTGGCTATTCGATGAATGAACATCTGACTCTCAGATCAGAAGATTAATCTTTACTACCTCTACAGTAGAAGATAATATATCTAGTTCTAACAAAAATATCAATAGACCTGAACTTGAGAAATATTATTAATATTTATTCGGTAAAATATATCAATGAAGAATATTAATTCTCTGCTAATGATTCCGTAGAGTTAACCCCACCATTCGTGATTTCATTCATCATTCCGTGTTTGGCGTTTAGGATTAATGTCTATCTCTGATCATTCTTCAGGGACGACTACAACAGCATCACAGTCTTTGGGCTGAAGAATCATGATATGACAATTGACAATGTCAAGAGATCCGTCAGGTTCTGATACAAAAAATATCTCCAATCATTAGAGCTTTGCGAAGATGTCCTAAACTTGACAAAAACGTCATAAACATAATACTTCATTCTCATATACTCAGTCGTATTACCTATATGATAAACGTGTGAGGATCTTGTTCAAAAAATCATTACAGTAAAATATCTGCACTTTGAGAAAGCACTGAAAGTATAGTGTCGCCTCTCATTTGATATCCCTACAAATGATCTGTATGCGATAACAGAAAAATTTTCATTGGATGAATTATATAAAATAGATACTCTTGAAGTTTCATATAATATAATAAACAATAATCTGAAATCCAATTTTGTTCTGTTGATAAACTCAGAAATTCATGGTCATCACACGAGACAATTAAACTTATTTCATCTTGATTCTGCTACTTTTATAATTGGCCAAAAAAACTTACTCACGCTGCTTTAGCTGAATTTAATAAATTACCACATAATATAAAAAATTGCAGACATATTTCAACATTTGAATTTGAATTTTAAAAACACATGATTTCATTACGAGATGGATAAAATTGATACTTTGCCATCTACTGATTAGTCCCTGTGGTTATTTTTATGACTTGATCGATTTAGCATTTTTAGATTCTTTAGATTTTTGTTGTTGTTGTCACCTTATATTATTTTATTATTGTTGTTTGTAATCAACTTCCTTATACCAGAATTTTATTTCTGACTGGAAGCTAGTTTTTCAATGAACAATAAAAATCCGTGATTGGCGTTTAGGATTGTCGGCATATACTTTTTAATGATTGATAAATAAATCGCGGTATCTATCTCTAATCATTCTTCAGGGACGAATACAACGGAGGCCAAAGGAGGCACAGCGCCTCGCAGGGTTATACCCACCATTCGCGATTTCATTCATTCATCCGTGTTTGGCGTTTAGGATTGTCGGCATAAACTTTTTAATGATTGATGAATAAATCGCGGTGTCTATCTCTGATCATTCTTTAGGGACGACTACAACAGCGGCCAAAGCAGGCACAGCGCCTCGCAGGGTTATCCCCACCATTCGCGATATCATTAATTCATCCGTGTTTGGCGTTTAGGATTGTCGGCATATACTTTTTAATGATTGATGAATAAATCGCGGTGTCTATCTCTGATCATTCTTCAGGGACGACTACAACAGCGGCCAAAGGAGGCACAGCGCCTCCCAGCAGGACTACGCCGGCGCTACGTCGCGACGCAGCCCCCGGTTGCAGCGTCGGTGCAGCTCGGGCCGGTTCGAAGACGGGCTGCCGGCGCCCGTGCTGAAGGCGCACTCGCCCGTCGCCAGGGAGCTGAAGAACGCGGTGCCGTTCAACAGTGCCAGGCTGAGCTCGGAGGTGGTGAGGAGGCTGGAGGACAGGTGGCAGGTGAGGGATTGTATTTGTTCGGTTTCGGTATTGTTATATATTATAATCATCCTGTTAGTGAGGATTCATTCTCTCGTACTAGAATCAAGCAAACCTCTTATGAATTGTGCTCTTAACAACATGTTGAGGACTCTTTTTGAACATTCATTTTGATTACATTTGGTCTTGAAATCGCATGTTTTAATGAGATCTTTCAGTGTAGCAACGTAAGTGGAAATTGATTCTCCTTGTGATTGAATTCTTGAGAAGAATTTATGTTGTTCTGTTAGTACATTCCGTCTGGGTGCAAGATGATTTCTCAGAAGGGTTATGAGTTCTGTGTAACTTTTCGTAGCTGGCAGTTCTGGAGATGTCAAACTGGATATAACTTTATAGAGTCTGCTACCTAAGCAATTTATTAGAACCATTACTTTAGCATCATTCGTTTCTTTATCTTGTTTATCGAGTCCTTTCAGTTTGAAGAAATTTTCTAATCTTTGACAATAACTATCAAAATTTTCACAATTTTCGTCGAAAGGTTCGAAAGTAAGTATTTGCCGTTGAAGAATATCTTTCACTGTGGATGGTTTATTTTGCTGTTCTTGAAGGGAATTTACTAAACCACTGTGAGCTGTTATTAGGGGTGCGAGGTCTTGAGCCATATTTGAAATTATCAATGTTTTATTTTCGAAGACTGCGATGATACTGGTATTGTCTGCTATGTTATCGAGGTATTATACTTATGTTTTCTTTATCCTCGTCGCCAAATTATTGTGTATTGAATAATCTTTATTTTGAAAATTGAATTATTAACATGACGTGTTTATAAACATATTATCACTATCATCTGTCATGAAACAGAAGAATGAATCCTCACTAACAGGATAATTATAATATATAACAGGTATGCAAAAGAACACTGATTATATTTTATCTCGTATTTTATGCTCTTTTCAAATTTGACAACAAATTTTGAGAACTACGTAATATTATAGTTCCTAAATGTGCTTCGCACTGCTGTTTTGACGTTTTTTGTATATTAGAGTACGGACACGAGACAAGCAGTGACGATCAAACATAACCACAAACGATTTTGAATCAAATCATATGTTTTTTCAGACAAGGACAAGATTATGTTTTTCGCTTAGATAAAGAATCCTCGCATCTTCCTTCCTCCATAAGTCCTGGGAAGAGTACATCCATATATCTTTCTCTGTCTTTGATTTTTGTATGAGAGTGCATAGCGTCTCCTCGAGTGGATAAAAGGGTACAATAAATTTATTAGAAAATTATTTCTTCTCGAAATATTGAATCATAAGGCTGAAGAACCTCAAAGGAGGTCGATAACAATGCCACCCTGTATATACATATAAGTTACAAAAATAGCACGTCAAAGTTGTCAAAGTTATGACGTCATCAACAAATTTTTTTGAATGTACTTTTTATGAATTTTGTGCATCACTTTATCATAACCCTGTATATACGTTCAGTTGAATATTTTTTTTCATCACAAAAGTTCAGAATGGGGTAAAAACTGATAAATTTCAGCCAATGAAACATACTTTTATTCCGTATTGAACAATTTCACTTGTACAAGAGTGGTAGGTAATAAGTAATTAATGAATGAACAGATGATATTACAACATGTAACTTGCCCGTCAATAGAGTGGGTCGATTCGTAGGTTTTGTTTCCGGAGATTAGCCAAAGTAAATGAATCAACTCGTGAAATTATTATTTTAATAACAGTGTCACAATGAACGGTACAGATAATGATCATACAATCCGGTACTCCGGTAGGTATCTATAATCTAACTCATAAATCTAAAAACAGCGCAAAATAAGAATGAAATAACTGCAATCGCGAAAACAAAGCAACGACAAACGATACTCGAAAGTCTGACGATTCACGAAACATAAAATGTTACCTTATAGTCCACACACGGTTAGAGTGGATTCGTCTATTCTCATCACCGGAACTACAAACAACAGAAAGGTATCTTCCTTCTTCGTACTCAGCTAATACAGACTTGAATACATCCAACACGGCTACTACTTATACTTTGATACAGGTACTCGTGGTAGACTGGATACTTCTACCCAGAGGTATCGAATAATCGGAATTCGTGATCGTGAAATACTTAGGTACCTTGACCAATGGTATGGTATATCGAGCGCTACCAGCTCACTCGCTGTCTCTTGCTCGACTCCCTCGGCGAACGGCGATCCTGCGAACCGCTTGAACACCAACAACGGCCGATGATCATCACGACAGCATACACTGTCTCTCTCCCCTACATTCCATCCATGCCACCATTTCCCTTCCAACGTCTCAGTAACACCGCTTTCGCGCGCACCACGAAACAACAACCGAAAATAGAACACGACTACGTAGATAAAAAGAATACAAAATATATAACCCATAGGCGTGCATGTTACATAACCCCCCTACTAAAAATCCTTAACATAAATGGACTTTTAGTACACCCATAACACACGCCTATTTACAAATGTTGAACTGGTATAAATGGCTTCAAATTAACAATATTATGAATACCTAGAGACGCTCCAGTTAGGTCGTCCCTCAATTCATACGCATTTGGACCCTTTTTAGAGATTACAGTACAAGGACCACGGAACAATAAGAAAAACTTTTTAATCTCTTTGGTCATAGCTGAAGATTGATCATGAGTACGAACTAAAACCTTATCGTTTATTTCAAACGTCATCAATTTCTTTCCTTTATCATGGCGCAATTTCCGCTTCCCTGCTTTAGATAAAAGGCATTCCTTAGCTAAGAAAATCATCCGATCATGTTCAAGAGGAACTAAATCCTGCTCAGGGTAAATAATATTTTTCGTGAATTTATTCCCAGCCAATTTGCCAAAATGTAACATTTCCGGTGTGAAATTGGTTCCACTATGAATAACACGATTCAATAACATCTCAACCTGTTTTATAACCATAGCCCATTTTTGATGTTGCGCATAACATAATGATCGAAGCAATCGACCAATTTCCCGGTTGATTCTTTCTGTTAAATTACCCTGAGGGTAATAAACTGACGTATGTCGCGTAGCTACCCCGTTTGACTGCAAAGTTTCCCTCCATAATCGACTAGAAAATTGACTGCCGTTATCAGAGAGGATAACTTGAGGTTTTCCTACTTGCACAAAATATACCTCAGTGAGGCATTTTAAAACAGCACGAGTCGTGGCCCGTCGAGAGGAAATAAACGAACATGTTTACTAAAGGCATCAATTGCCACGAATAACTGAGTTGCTCCCGAACGCGACACAGGTAACGGGCCCATCAGATCCACACAGACTATGTGATTGATACTATCTGGAATGACACTATGCATTTCACCAGAGGAATATGGAGAAATTTTCGATTTCTGACACAAACTACATCCCGAAATAATTTTACGACAGGTGGGTCGCATTTTGGGCCAATAATAATGAGCCTGAAGGGCACTGATACATTTCTCAGCCCCAAAATGGCCATTTTCTTCATGTTGTTGCCTAATGAGAGTTTCAATATGACAATGAGGTACACAAATTTTAAACCCCTGATTCGATTCCGTACCACGTCTGAATAATACATTATTATGTATAACAAACCACTGATTAACACGAGGTGCTACTTCTTCTCTAGCTAATTCATCAATTATCTTTAAACAAAATTCATCTGCCCTCTGATCACGAACAATATTCTTAAAATTTCTATTAACTTCTTTAGATAACTCAGTCAACTTCACAACAGCAACTTCAATTTCAATATTTTCGGGTACTTCGAATTCTACTGACTCACTATTTTTGAGAGGATATCGAGATAATGCATCCGCTAATTTGTTATCTTCGCCTTTACAATACTGTACCTCAAAATTATACTCTTGTAGGTAAATAATCCATCGAGCTAATCGCGAAGTTAAAAGGCGGCAAGATTGTATGAAAGATAAGGACTTATGGTCCGTTATAATTGTTAGGGGCTGTCCCAAAACAAATACTCTCCATTTCTGTAACGCAAATATGATTGCAAGGGCCTCTTTCTCCGTTACAGTATAACGAAGTTCGGGACCATGCATCATACGACTAGCAAAAGCTATATAATTTCTCTTTTGCGAAATCTCATCAATCTGAAAGAGACATGCTCCTAAAGCATATCCCGACGAATCAGTCTGTATATAAAATCTACTATTCATATCAGGGTGTTTCAACATGAAAACTTTTAAGAAAGCTTCTTTGACGGCTATAAAAGCTGTAGCTTGTTCAACCCCCCACTTCCATGCCTGGTCTTTTTTAAGTAGATTTAATAAGGGAGAAATTATACTAGAAAAGTTTTGACAAAACCTAGCATCATAATTAATAATTCCCAAGAATGCTCTCAAATGACGAATATTTCTTGGACCCGGAAAATTCTGGATCGCTTCGATTCGACCCGGGTCCATGCTTATTCCTGTCGGAGTGATAATGTGGCCCAGAAAAACCACCGATGACCTACCAAATAATGACTTTTTCAATTTGACAGTTATTCCTGCCCTTCTGAATTTTTCAAAAATCACTTTGAGGTGATGTAAATGAGTTGACGCGTTCTCAGAATGGATCAAAAGATCATCCACATACGGGATTAAGAAACCACCGAAGTTGAAAGACCAAATGGCAATACACAAAATACATAAGTTTGGCCATCGTAGGAAAACCCAGTAAATTTCTGATGACTCTCATCTATGGGAATTTGCCAGTACGAAGAAGTAAGGTCAACCGTACTTAAACATTGATTAGGAGTAAAATCATAATGTAATTCTAACGGATTCAAAGGAACCACGTGATCCTTCACCATTCGCTGGTTTAAATACCGCGCATCTAAACAAACCCTTATGGAGTTATCTTTCTTTTTAACAACAACTAAGGGAGATACATATTCCGTTTGCTGCAATTTCACTACCCCCCACTCTAGCATTTCAGCCAATTGTCGACGAACTTCTTCCCGATATGCATGGGGAACCGGATAAGATTTACAA